TCAACCAGAGAGTATTCTATAGCTTGGTATCAATCAGCTGAATGAATCTCATTACCAGCCTACAATGACAGGCAAACACTGCCCGTCATGTGCTAGCAAACAGAGGGTATTCTATTGCTCAGGTATCAATCAGCTGAATGAAACTCGTTATCAGCCTACAAATACAGGCAAACACTGCCCGTCATGTTCTATCAACCAGAGAGTATTCTACTGCTTGGTATCAATCAGCTGAATGAATCTCATTACCATCCTACAAATACAGGCAAACACTGCCCGTCATGTGCTATCAATCCTATGAATGACTTTTACAAAATCTCCTGTCTTCGGTGAAGGGCTATCTAACGGCAATGCCCTATATGATTCACCATTTTCCATACATCGGTTCACTGGTCAAACGAAAAGCATTCAGTCGAGGTTAAAGGATTCAAATTTGAATAATCCTTTGAAAGTACCTTGGCGCCTCGCATGAGCGCTTTGTGTTTGACCAGTGAACAACCAATGTATGGAAAATGGTGAATCAATATATCTATGTACATTTCTATTAAAAACTTGCCGTAAGCCGGACTACAAATATCGTCTATTAATTTCAACCTATATCTGTTATATTTTTCTCTCTTCAGCAATCCCACATGGTCCAGCCTGCAGGTTCGTGTTATAATGGTTGTTGTAGAAACAATCCTTGTTTGAACGGTGGAACCTGCGTAGAGAACTGTGTTAATTCAAAAGAAAAGTTCAGCTGCACGTGCAATTCATATTACTATGGAAAAGTGTGCGAAAAAGTGCGAMCTTACCATTCTTGTATGGATGTCCTTAATACCTACACTATTGTGGGGATAATGCCTGAAAATGGTGTCTATCCTATTTACCGCAGTGACAAAAAGAGATTCCAGCCATTCTATTGCGCCTTCGAGGGAGCTACGAAAGCCTGGACACTTATTGAGTCCTTCTCTCTCGCTAACAAAGGGATTTATGCCACAACTGCCTTTAGTGAAATTAATGGTCAAAATGCGAACAAGCCAATAACGAACTGGAGCRATTTCCGCTTACAGTCGTCAGCAATGCGTACTCATCTACGTCCAAACTCAACGATGTTCAGAGCGACCTGTGACTTCCCAAAAAGGAATTCTCTAACCCCTGACTTTCTTCTTGGCTATCTGAGTGATTACGACATCTTCACTAACGATCAGACGAATGGAAAATGTGTCAAGTTTGCTCATATCAATATCAGAGGATATGACTTTTATAATACCACAGCACCTGTTTGGCACGTTCGGGGTACTTGGCATTTCCATATTGACCCAACTCGGGGAAACTGTTCTTTCAGTGTACAAGGGAGTGTCTATAATGAAGATAATTTTGGGTTTTATGGTACGATCAACCCGCTGTCGAAATGCACTGCAACACAACATTCTACCACACAATGGTGGTTAGGAGAAGAGCAATAGGCCCGGTAACCAGTGAGCAAATGTATTGCTAAATATCAATTCAATTTAAAGGGGCACTTGAACTATATAAAAAGCCCGGGGGAGGGGGGTTACTCCGCCAGAAATTTATGGATGAGGGGTGTTCCGCTGGGAAAAACTCAAATTTGTAGACCCTGTTTATGACAAAAGATATAATTTATTGCACTGAGTTCCTGTTTCAATTATCATGTCACCTCGCGTAT